GCATCCATTCTGTTTCATATTACCTTTTCAGCCTTAGATAGCTTGCTTTCTTAATTTGCCATTGCTATTAATAGGGAACGAAAACATACTGGCATTTACCTACTGGTAGCATCTCCAACAACAGAATTCTACCCTCTTAGAGAGGGGGAAAGGGTAGTTCAATCTGTATATCTCACAAATATTTCCTCTGTAGGACTGGAAGTTCCTATAGGATACTATGGAAGATGGCACAGGGGGCTATAAATTTCCATCCCTTTACATTGGCAGGGCTTTCTGGTACCTTTCACAGAATGAAAGTGTCTTTTGCAAGCAGAACTTGAATCTAACTTTTATAAAGCAACATTTTAATTTTTTTTAATAATTTTAAAAATACAGGTAGTCCTTGACTTACAACAGTTCATTTAGTGACCATTTGAAGTTCCAATGGCACTAAAATAGTGACTTATGCCCATTTTTTCACACTTAGGACCATTGTAGCATCCCCATGATCATGTGATCAAAATTTAAATGCTTGTCAATTGACTCATATTTATGACGGTTGCAGTGTCCCGGGGTCATCAGATCACCTTTTGTGACCTGACAAGCTGCCAAGGCTCCGATAGACAAGACCAAACAAATCAGAATTCCGAGGCTTGAGATTTCCTCAAAGAACACGTTTATTGGTTACATAGTATCGGCACCGTCAAAAGTGAAACCAAGCCTGAAATTTCCTTCAGAAAGCAACAATATTACAAAGTTGAACTCCCCACCCCAGTGCTATGCAATTAGCTGCGTTCCCCCAATAGAAGAGTTTGGCGGGCTTTCTAACTAAATGCTCCTATCTAACTGACAAAAATGACCTTGGTTCCCACTGGACAGTAAAATGTTTAGACTAGTAGAAATCCTCCATCCCCCTCCCAATCCTGTGGCAACTTAGAACGAAGGAAATGGCTGCAGCCTGGTTCGTTGTAGAGTTGACACAAGCAAAGTCAACAGGGGGAAGCAGATTCACTTAACAACCATGTTTCTAACTTAACAGCTGCAGTGATTCACTTAACAACTGTGGCAAGAAAGATTGTAAAATGGGGCAAAGCTGACTTAACAAATGTTTCACTTAGCAACATGAATTTTGAGCTCAATTGTGGTTATAAGTTGAGGATTACCTGTACTAATTAAATAATTGTAAATCATATTATATTTTCCTTACCATATCACAATGGTGGCCAACCTATGGCACGGGTGCCAGAGGCGGCACTCAGAGCCCTCTCTGTGGGCACGTGCATCGTCGCCCCAGTCCTAGGCCTTCAGCTGGGTTTTATAAAACCTTTTCGCTTTAGGCCTCCACTGCCGTGTGCAAAAAAAAAAAAGGTTCAATCAATCAGTCAATTTCAACTTCTCGCGGGGAAAAAAAAGATCTTGCAAAGCTGGAATTGATTGATTGAACTTTTTAGTCCCACCCAGTCTGCCATTACCACTGCAGCCACGCCCAGCCAATGGGCCACGCCAGCCAATGGGCCACACCCAGCCAATGGGCCACACCCACCCGGCACTCAATGATGCATAAGTGGGTTTTGGGTTGCAGTTTGGGCACTCGCTCTCTAAAAGATTCGCCATGACTGCCATATCAGATATACCAACGTTTAGATGATATATAGTTAAAATAGTTAATTAATTTTTATGTCATTTTTTTCTCGTTTAAAAATGTTTCCTTTTAACTTCAACAATTTTTTCAACCCTTAGATATCCTGGGTTTCAGAAGGAAAAAGATACGGACCTACCCGAAGTTTTGTTCGTAGATTGGGAGCATGTCTTACATTAATTCCTTTTTCAAGACCTCACTTTCAGGTATATGAGTTATTTGCAAAGTTTAGAATTAATAACTTGTTCATTTATATTTTTTTCAACATTGCTATATATAGCATGTAGTAAAAGAGAAAACATATACATTTATCATTTGGGAAAAAGTTGCACATGAATTCATAGAAATGCATTTTAAATAACAGTGACCATTGTAAAATAATAAGTAAAAGAGATTTAAATTTATATGTCATAGTCACCTAGATTTCTTATGAATATATAATTGAAATATCAAAATAGAAAACTGATTGCAGCCTTCAAAAGCCGAATTTCAGACCATGAACGAACTCCTTCTTGCTACTTTGAATAATGTTTGAATGCAGTTTGTTAAAATTTATGATACCAAATATATATATTGTTGTGTGCTGCTGCTATTATACTTCAGTTGAAAAATGGTGCAACTGTCACTATTAAAAATGAATCGGAAAATATTATATTATCTTATCACCTTAGTATTCATTCTGAGGGAGATTAATAAGGATTTTAGTCATTGTATCCTAAATATCTTTAAAAATTATATAGGAAATCTTGCTCACTTTAGCTCCTTACCTAAAAATGGATGAGTAGAACCTAAATATCTTTAAAAGTTATATAGGAAATCTTACTTATTTTAGCTCCTTACCTAAAAATGGATGAGTAGAATTTTGAAAGATCTAAAAATTGTTGAAGGATTAGTATTATCAGTATTAAATAATACTAATAATAAACAGTATATCTTAATTCTTTTGTTTACACTTATCAGAGGTACCTGCAGGGGACATGAGGAGGGGTAGAAATAACAAAGAACAGGTGGTTCTTGCTTAACAACCACTCATTCAGTGCCCGTTGGAATGCATTTTTGTACTTACAATGGTTGTAGCATCCAGCTTGCCATTATGATATTGCAGTGTCCTGTGGTCATGTGATCCCCATTTGCGACCTTAATCTACCAAACGCCTACAGGCAAGTTCAGTGGGAAAGCTGGCAGGAGGTCACATATGGCGACCACATGATGTCCTTTCCATAAGCACTTGGGGTGATTTGCTTAACAATGGTAACCAGAGATGCCAGAATTTCTGTCGCTAAGAGGTCTTGTCATGTCATGTCATGATTTACAACTGCTTTACTTACCCTGTAATTCTAGTCCTAAATTAGTATCTGTAAGCACCGCAATATCATAGTGCAAGCACGGTGCTTGCATATCAATATGGTTCATTCTAATGAAACTGGGATTCTGCAGACTCCTCTGCTCCTTCATTGCTTCTTTTCTATTGAGAAGGGTTGATATTAGAACAAATATGCATCTGTTGGACAACTGCTAGAAAGCTAATAATTAAAAACAATTGTTTTATATAAAAGTGTGTTTATGATGCTTTAGCTGGTCCAAAGTCTGAACTCTTTAGAAGAACAATACAGCATCGTTAATTCTGTTCAACCGTCTCTTGCCGATGCCTTATGGATGGTAGATGAAGACAGAAATCCATGCACTAAATCCAGGCAAGTAAAACCAACTAGACTTTTTGAAGTATTGTCAGGTGCAAGCCCAAAGATGACCCAATTCATCCAATTAATTCCAATCATTTTTTATTATTATACCGAATGGACAGAATCTTGCCGAACTAAAACTATAATCTTCTACCCTCGTAGAGTTATCCTGAGCGATTCCAGGATGTGGCTTCTCTAACAAACTTCCCCCTTTCTCCATCCAACTCAGGACGGCACACTCTCCTAATCTGGGTTTCCCTCTGATGGAATCACTATCTTTATTCAGTCAATGACTAGAGATATGCTATAATTAAGAAAATTAAAAATAGTGACATAAAGCTTAACCCTGTAAAATTACAGCGCTATAAGGAATTGAGAAGATTTAAATAAACAAGATAGCAAATCATAATTAACTCTTACTGTTGATCGATTAAGTATCAGTATTTTTGAAATGGAATGGTTTTATGCACATTGTCATCAGTTTATGGATTTTGAAAAACAAATGCAATGCAAATAACAGAAGCACTGATGCTATAAAAAATACATTTACTTTTCTGTTCAGAGTGCTATTTATAGCCAATTGTTTGGGGTAAACCCTTCTGAATTCAGTGCTACTTCTGTACATATGATTGGGTTGTAAACATTTCAGTTTACGTGTTAGGCATGTGAGTTCACTTTATTCCCAAACGTCTTGGCTTTTGGAATGCTTACATTTATTTACCCAGTGCTATCCTGATATTTTCTAGATTTGAGGACTGGAGAGGGGTTGCCACTCCATCTGTACTTTCTTTGCCAATTGCTCCAAAAGAAAAAAATGAAAAAACAACTGTTGCGGGTGAAGACGCATTCCAAAAAATTCATGTTCTTGAAAATGAATTAGCACATCTTCGTAAACAGATTGCTGCGATTCTGGCAGCAGATAGGGCAGTAAATGATCAATCCCGTAAGTCTGTCTATCTGGATTCAAATGAATGTGTTTCTATGTGTTTCTCTTGTTCCTAATGATACTAAGTCATATTGCCATCTGACGACAACTTTTATGTAGAAAATTGTTTTGCTTATAATTGCTTCAGGTTATGTTTGCACCTAAGATTTACTGATTTTACCACCAACAGTAAGAGAAGATGAGCCCAGATTCTTTCTAAACATAAAACATCTAGTTAACTTACTGGGCAGGGGAGATA